GCGGTATTCGGTTGAGAAACCGTTGTGAACCCGTCCAGCGTAAAATGAGCCGCATCGCGCCCCCAAACCACAATTTATTGCATGCAACCGAGACAAGGGAGATGTGTCTCGTTTAAATGGACACGTTATATAAATAAAGTACTCCGATATGCGAATAATAGTAAGTTCATCCGTCTCGGTGCATTCAATGCGGAATCAAATGTTTTCATTTTTGTTTTTTATGCTCTAAATAATATTAGTAATATTTAATTATTTACATCAACCTCATAATGAGACTGGAATATATGCCGCGTGTAAAACACTGCTTTACAATCGACACCGTCAATCATAAAATCCAAGTAACACTAAAACAATACTTTATAAATTATTTATAAATGCAAGAACATCTCAAATAAAAGTTTCCTATCGGAATAAAATAAAAAAAGCAAAGCATCGTAAAGGTTCACTATCGCTATTAATTCCTCTACAATTTAATACCATAAAGAGAAATCGAAAAGAAAAAAGCCAACCAACGCCGTCGCGGGCTGAAAATTTACATTTGTAATCAGAGCCATTAGCGTCTACAATAAACTGCATTGACATGTGGGGGAGCGTGACGGAGCTAGCGCGCTAGACGGAGACCGGTAGCGATGGCGTAGCCTCAGCAGACAATAGCGGCGCGTGCGCAGAAAGAACGAGACGGATGTATGGGGATAGAAAAAGACGCGTGTATTTTCATTTCTTTCGTTTATTTTCAATAAAAGGTGCGTTCGGATATTATGCGTTTGCGAAAAATGCGTTCAGATTTATAGTTTCGCTTTCCGCGTAGTCTATTATCGTATAGCTGGACTGAATATTGTGCTCGTTGATTTTCGATGTTGCGTTGATATGCAAATGAACGTTATTTATTGATCCTTTTTACATTTTATTATCTGCATTTTTCATAAAAGTCGTTACAGCTCTATAAAGCTTTTGTTTGTACTGGTTCTTGATTGTAAATATTTCGACATGGTTCGAAAATGCGTGGTATAATTTTTATTGGTCTCTACTTAAATGTTATTATCAGAAATAAAGTTTTAACTACAAACATGCTATAAAATATAAAATAACGTCTATGAATAAACCACCTGAATTTAAGGAGGAATAAAACACAAATCGAAACATTTATATCAAGAGTTTGAAACTTCAACAATCGTAATGCATTTTGTCATAGATAAAGGAAGGGAATAAATCTTAGATATCCTCAAGTAATAAGTGACAAATACATAATTTATTTTATGACACAAAACAATGAAAATAACTCAGCATAATGTATAACAGAGCGGTTGGCAGGTGCGTCGTAGCAACACAAGAAACTGCGATTAATATGAAATACATTGCGCACGCACGCTTTTAATTAATATACTATTTTCAGTGTAAGATATTGTTAGTTACATTGTTACATTTTCTAGAGAATTCCAACTGATAAGAAGAGTCAATAGAATGCTAGTTACATTAAAAATACAATAGTTTTTTTACCAAAGAGTTAAAAATATTTTTTAAACATTTTTCGAAACAATTTCAAAATAGATATAGTTTCTATATCGAGCAAGTTAATTGAACATTATCGACAAGGTTTATTTACATTTTAATATTATTGTAATACTAAATAATGGTATTAAAAAAAGTAAGTAGCCTCTGTGTTCCTCCAGACTACGCTCTACGTGTCAAATTTCATCAAGATCGGTTCAGACGTTTAGGCTACAAACTCTTACAACCTTTCATCTAAACTTTCGCATATCTAATATTAGTAAGATTAGTAAGATAGATATTATTTTAGACAAATCACAGTAAAATTAACAGAGTATAAAAGGAAATGTACAAATCACGCGGGAACATCAAGTATCGTAACATAGAGAATTATTCGTAGCATTTGAAACAACAAAACGCTACATCGGAAATAGCCAGACGTCTGCCGCGTGCTCGCTTTTGTATGTTAGATGTTATTATAGTTTAATGTAATTTATAGAGAATTAGAAATTATTATTATTCTACGCGATATAAATGTTAAAATCTTAACAAGGCTGTCGTGGACCACATTCAGCCTTGGCGTCAAAATCTATACTAAATTATAAAGAAGAAAGATTTGTATTTTTGTATGTATTGAAATAACTCAAATACTACTTGGCCGATGTCAAAAATTATTTTACTTTTTATTTTTATTTTACGTAGACGTATTAGGCAACGCTTGTAAAATGAAGTAAGAAGTAAAGTAGATTGCGAATATAATTGGATGGATTTTAGAGTCAGGCAGATGTGAAAATTAGGAAATGGTAATTAGGAAATAGCAGATGAAAACCCGTAGTTTCTAAGATTTTTATGCATTAGTAGCGATCCGCTTTAGCAGCAACAAAATTCTTATATTTTTTCCGCCTTACAAAGATTTTTTGTTTAAATGTTTTGGGAGCCTCTTAAGTATAATAAAAAGTCTTTCCTCTTATAATGTCAAAACCATACATCTACGAGGATATTATGTACAAGTAAATTGGTTAAATAAAACTTTACTCGACAAGATTATTTATCTGTGTACAAAGTTCTATAAACGCTTTGATAAATCTGTCGTCTGTCGATTTGAATTAGGAACGAACGCTTTACTTGTATTTGGAATACATTTCGCGCCAATATCAGTCGTGTTGTCGAATTGAATTTCAAATTCTCGTTCCATGAATTGAATCGTAGTTAATTTATGATTATCACTATCTAATAATATATATTTACTTCCTTAGTTTTGATAATTACGTTTAGAACAGGCGTTCAGCTTTGACTGAACTGTCACACAACTGTTCTGGGATTATCGATTGTTTCGCAGCCAATTTATCTGTTTGCACAACTAAAAATCGAGCAGTGTGCGCACCATATAAGCTCATAGTAATGAAAGTGAGACCAAACAATTGTTCGATAGTTAAAGTACCAAATAGGATGGTAACTATATGGTTATTAGATATAAATAAGTCTAACAGACAGTAGCTTCCTCTTCATAGAGTTGCAGTAATTGTGAATCTAGTCATGCTGTGACCGTCGCGGGCAGACACCTCGCATCTGGGACGCTATTGGCATAATATCGTAAATAAGACACGACACAAACGTTCACCGTTTCCTAATCATATTCAGGTGAAGTACCATCGTTAGTTAATCATTGGTTAAACGTATGACGTATAACTGACGGTTATTTTATTCTAATTTGTATCTGTACTATTCCAGGAGTCAAACTTTAAGCGCTTGTTGTTAATGCTTGATTGTTTAAATCGTACAAATATTTCACGCGGACGATGTCGCGGGTTAAAGCTAGTAGTCTATTAAATTTTATTTTATAGCCGCACAATGGTATACTCTAGTCGTTTATATTTACTAAGTAAGACTTTAAGTGAAGATTTTTCTATTAAATGTACATTAAGGGTCTGCTAAGAGGATTTTTTTATGTGAGAATTAATCTGGACCTAACATGATATTTGAAAGGATTTTTTTTCTTATTGTGACATATTTCAATAGGGTTATTTAATATTAATTTCGTTAATAAAAGTGAATTATACATTTTTTGTATATTTTAGTTATTTATATGTTCAAAGAGCGCTATATTCTACAGTAGAGGCGCGGTAATCCATACACTTTACAACACAAGTGATCATAAAACCGTCGTAAACTGTACTGGCTATAAACACCGCATTTCCCCCACTTTGTAACCTTTACATGAACATTTAAAGGGGATAAAATTTAATGAACCTCTATTGTAATATTAAGCAATTGTTTTAAGAAGTTATAGGAAATCTTCTGATACTTCTAAAGATAATTTATGAAACCTTAAATATATGCAGATGTGTATTAAATATGACTAAATAGTTTTGGCCGCGACTACATTCGTAAATTAAAAAAAATAGTAAATGTTATGTTTTACGTCTCTAACAAATTTCATTACTTTTTATAGCGTAGTACCAATTTTCCGGAAATTTAATTTTGTATTAAAAATTAAAAAAAATCAAGATCCGTTTAGAACTTTTTGATATATAATAACAAATATCATTAAAAAAAGTAATAATAATATCAAGTTTAACGTAAGTTTTTAAACGTTGTCCAAAATTACATTCATATTCTCATTAAAAAATAACTCAATAAGAAATACTGAGAATTTAACGCAATCATAAAGAATTTTAAAACATTATTGATGCAAAGTAAAACAAACCGACAAATAATCAATATTTGTGATTGTCGCCTCTTTGTCTTTAACAATGCATTCGACACTTCCTTCGATCTTATCAAAATTATAACCAACGTAAGAATATTGAGATTGGATTCTCCGGTTTCGAGATTATATTGTAAATGCCTTATCATTAGTGTTTTTAATTTTAAACTACTCATTTCTTTCAGTTTGGGAAATAGCAAGGGTTTCCTCAAGGAACTTAACTCGGGCCAATCTTAATTAAATTTAATTTTCTGGTGTTTCTAGAGCGACAGCGTCTAATTTATTAATTCAAATTTTGAAGATATCTAGAACTCATTTCTGGAACAATCCTTTATGCGTAGATCACTATTAAATTCCATCATATGTAACTAAATTCACAAAAAACATTTGAAGGTGTGTGTTTTTCAGAAATACCTCAGTCAACTTTTTTATGTCCCTAGAAGGTGTCAATGAACTATCTTGTACTCTGTATAATGTACTCTGAGTTGAACTTAATTCGATTAGGTTAGAGTTTGTGATGCTTCATAAATGTAGATTGAATATGACATAATTTTGACATCGAAATACAGAAGGTATTATAGCAATTTGGCTCTAGACTAACTAGCAATAAGATTCAAAGTCGCATATCGTCATTATTTAACACGTCAATGAATTAAAATAATATTTAAGCAAATACCGATCTTTACGTCTTGGATATAATGATTAATATTGCTTGAATATCTAACACCTTGTTACCGAAATGTATAATAGAAACAAACAATTTTATGTCATAACGTGTGTGAAATAAGGTTTAAAATAATTTTACCTGGAGCTTGTCTAACACAGCTGGTCAAACCCAACATTTTTTTGAACTGTCACATCTAATGCGTAAGATTACGACGGATCGACGTAACTATTCAACTGCACATCCTGTAAATGAAAATAAGATGCATTTTAACATCCATTACTCATTTCGTTAGCAATACCAGCACACTGGTCTATCTAAAACGAGCAATTTATAATAAACAATGCGGTTACACTTCCTAACCGCATGTTTCCCTTATTCCTGTGTAAGGACGTTCACCCGAATTTTTTTCCACGTAACTGATCCTTTTTTTTTGTTCCGGTGTTTTTTCTTCGTCTTTAATTGTAAAGGGTTTTGTTAAGATAATGTTGACAAGTCATTTTGATTAATTGTGATATTTCTTTTGTATTTCTTATTGGAATATTTTCTCATTTATGTTATTCATTTCGTTTTTAATTTATATAGATGCGATAAGTTCTTAAAAGTTGATAAGTGTAATTAAGTTATATTCAACTTAATAAATTGGAAGTCAATATCTTTAAATATAATATCGAAGACAGCAAAAATTACTTAGAAAACGACTGATCATTATCAAATCTATTTTGAGTAAATATTAAAAGTTTAAATAAGTAAAAACCATCTATAATAGTTTAGAAGCTTTAAATGGATTTTATTAAACCCCTTTTTTAATCAACAAAACACGCATTGATCAATTCAACATTACTACACCCGCATACAGAATCTTACAAAAGTAACCCTTTGTCCCGAAATACACCCACATTACCCTCGCCCTAAGCTAAAAATTGTTCCAGAAATATTAAAATAGTCAAAAGAGTTAAAATTAAAAAAGGGAGGGTAGTCACAAAAAACGTATAATCCCAAAACCAACACAGCTGAATGATTCTTACAATGACTAGTTCGTATTGAATTTTAAAACGAGTTAGAGCTTTAAAGCGCTTGATGCAGACGAGTTACAGCGATATTTAAAAATGCTTGTTGAAATAAAAGAAATTGTTATAAAACAACAAATATTGAAATAATAGCTTTCGAATGCGACTCCCTCCGCATGGAAGTAAAAAAAGAAAAGTAAGTATGTGTTCTTCCAGACTATCCTCTACATCTATACCAAATTTCATCGAGATCCGATCAGCCGTTTACGGTACAAACTCTAACAAATATCCATCCATCTAAACTTTCGCATTTATAATATTAGTAAGAATTAGTAAGATATTCCTAGGTGATTATTAAATACGTTATGTTAGTTAAATCAAATTCAAATATACGGATAGTAATTTCTTTGTTCGAAATTCAAATATCATTTTTATTCGCAGTGAAACATTTTATTGAATCCGATCGAAAAGCACTGGCAACAAAGGAAGCCGCATGACGAGAGCAATTTAAAAATGGTGGGGTTTCGCTTTTAGTTCCAATTTTAAAAAATGAGCCTGCGACGAGTGATTTGACGATTCAAACGGATCGCAGGACGCTATGCGAGAGGGCGCTATTATTTAAAAAAGGGTAAAATGTTACATGCATGTCGATTTAAACTTTGTAATATGGACATAGATGGTTTATCTATAAAATACAAGTAAATACTGATATAGAATTATTTGTGTTAATTTTTACCTTATCCATTTGAAAATATATTTTCTCACAAAATTCTTCGTTTCGTATGTTATGTTACATCTGATATAACGTTCATATGACGCACATACCGAAATTATTACTCAATATATTTAAAACCATGTGCCTGCAACAAAATTTCAATACAAATTCATTCAAAGCAGATTGTGATTTAATGAAAGAATGCTCTCAGTTCTAAAATTAACAGCTCGAGAGAAAACAGATTTTGAAATGTTCCCATCCACTTGAAAGTATATTACACTTTTAAGTAATTTCTCCTCTGTGCATAAACCCCTCGCGCGTTCGCTCCGGAATAATGCCCACGCACACATCGCCCGGCCGCAGATGTTGATTCCATAAAATAATATTTCATGTAAAGTACTAATCCGACTGAGGGCGGAAGGATTGGGTTCTATTTTAAAATTTTATAATTTAATGCAGTACACACACACTTTGAACCCCTTCTTTACATTTCACAATGACTTTTAACGTACTTTTTACTTTTAAAAACATAGATCAACAAAACCATCAAAGATTAAAAGGAAGCACAAAGAGACAATTCGCATTTAACCTTTAAACTCGTTTACATCCCTAGTGGCCATTCATCAATTAAATTTGACGCAGGACCTTGTTAAGAAAAGGGTATAAAAAAAAAATAAATCTCGAATCGAGTTTAAAAAGCTCCGTTTCGAAGTAAAGAATGTTGTGTACAATCTGGGGTTCGGACAAAAAAGTGACAACAGATAAAAAAAGGGAACACAACACGGCCAAAGAACAGATTATCAGCGCTAAAAGGGTTGCTCCCGCGCTCTCCTCCTTTTGTTCCTTCCAAATTCAAACTCCGGCTCCGTACAAGGCGCGTTCGAATGCGGATTCTATTTTTGAATATTCTACCGAGAATTTTTAATTAATGCCGCTCGGCTTCGCTCGTATAGTAATACTAGTGATATATTACGACTTTGCTTGTAATATTATTTTTATTATTTTTTTTGGTCTAGTAAGATTAATTCAAAACTAATTGGTAACGTGGGACATTTATCAAAAGTGTCGACACGTATCAGTAATTAATTTTAATGAGATTCAAATTGACTTAAAATTTATCGTGAATCCCTGAAATATTTTGTAATACATTAATAAAATAAAGGTACAAAATTAAATGTTCGACAAACACAAAAAGACATGGCAAGTTTTATTATATCTGTATCGGTTCGCAATTCTTTTTAAATCGAGTCGATACACAATTTTTGCGTTCGATTTCTGCTTTTTTATTTATGTTGTGCGATAATGACGTTTCGCTTTAAGTGCTTTATTTCGATTGGCGATTTTATTTCGATGTTCTGCTTGAAGGTCGGTAGTTTTAGTGATTAATGGTCGAGATATGTGGAGTGCTTTTTAAACGAAATATTGAATTTAATGATGTTTTGTGGAACTTCACGATTTGTTGTTTGATTTTGCGCGTCACATTTTTTAAATGGCAGATCGATAGCCGCTTTTAGTTAGTTTTAACTACATCATTGTATAGCAACGAAACATAATCACTAAAGGCTTTATATCTACATTCTAGAAATCTTAGTTTTTTGCAGAAATACAGCCAAGTCACTGTTAAATAATGTCTAGTTAATGATTCTAATATTAAGAATAACACATGATGATTTTAATCAACAATTTTATGTTATTTGACAAAACTTTAAATCGATTTTAATAAAAATCGATATCGATCATAACCTTTTAAAAGATCTTTATTGACGATCAATTCCGTGTCCATTGCCTCCAATGAGCCCTTATCAGACCAATAAGAGTGAGAATGCCACAGCTTAGTGAAGAAGTGACGTTTGATTACGACAAAGGACAATACAGAAGTGGGCCCTATATGACACATTGTTACTCTGTGGCAACTCGCGCTTATGAGTAACCAATAAGTCGCATTAAGGGTCACTTAACGCACCATCAATGCAACCAGCATACGCAAGTCGTTGACCCCGATACGCAAATAGGGACTTCTTATTATGACACCGATGCCCCTATAGTTGTATAGTGCAGTGCATCCAATACTACGTTATTAAGCTTCGAATCCCAATTAAATACACGTATAGTAATTATTAACAGAAAAATCTTCTAAATACATCACTAATGGTAGTTTTATAGTTAAAAAACTTTTATCATGTACTCCGTTGTAGTAAAGTTTTTTTTTAATAATAGACTTCACGTCATTTCGAAGCAATAGTAATCATTCGGCCGTATAATGGCCTCACTTAATATTCCATTTTCGAAAATATTTGAATCGTCATGCTCGTTCTATTCCTTTGTATCGCCACCAATAGCTGCCGGCGGACGGCTATCAGATTTTAAATTTGGAAGCGATCGATCGGACATTCTTATTGGGTTCCAAATTCAAATTAATTGCTGCGTTCGTTATTAAATAACTCAATCTAATTTTGTCGTTAGAATTTTTCGACTGGACGAAGGGTGCAATAAATGTTTTCAAACAGCCATTCCCCTATTTAAAAAATATACATTTTACATAATAACATTCAATTATTATCAATATCTTTTACTAATCATGTCCTTTCTTGTTTCCAGGTATTACATTCAATCTGCGCAATGTTAAGAAAATTCGCCCACAAAAGGTAAAGCGAAACACAAGAATTGTCACGAACTGTTCCGAGAACGAATGATTTCAAATCCTAATTGGAATACATACATAAAAATATATCTACATTTTACTGTATTTTTATCGCGTCTACCCCACGTGTAATTTTGTTAGTATCCCCTTTCTATGCCATTGAACTTTTTAAAAAATGGAAAGCGGAGAGCGTTCCCAAAAATAATTGATGTTAGAACTGGACTCACCCCTTTCATAATCTCGTTGCACTGCCGGGGATCGGGCGCACACATCTACGCAGCCGGGGATGCTCAACTTACGGCCTGCAAACATTTATAATAATTTTAGTTTAGAAATAAATATGCTTCATGTTACCTTATTAATTCTTTTATTCCATTAATTTTTAATTAATTAAATATACAACTAATTAATTGTCTAAGGACTTACATTCTTCGCAATGTACGCTGTGTCGCGTCAAATCGTATTTAGCATTCCTCTCGCGCCTACTTTTGAGGTCGTAATTTTTACTCGCGCTTCGTAACGGCCAGTATTAACGATTTAATTAGAACGCAACCGTAAGCGAATAATTGCAATAGTAACACCTGGCAGCAAACGACAAACAACAAATAAAATAAAAAATAATAAATCTACTACAGGATGTTTCAAAAACATATTTTTAATCTTTGTAAGACGATACAATTTAAAAGGTGTTACCAACCATATAATTATAATCAAGCTATCGATAGAAATGAGGTATTGTTATTAAAAAATGGTGTTTTTGTTCGATCATTGAAACAAAGCCTTTAGTAATTCGTATGAAGTGACTTGCATTTGCTTCAGTCGTTTTGTTCGTTCGTCTGTATACAAAACGATGTATCTATTTATTCTTTTTTTCATTCGAATAATTTTCGTTCATAATTATCATGGTCGGAGAGATTAGAGCGTTTTAGATGGACGTTTAATTTAAAAATGAATTATTTGATCGAGTAACATTATCGATGGAATGTTGCCATGCTTTAGTAGAAAATTTTAATATCTTAAGTTGTATTTCCGAAAATGAAAATTTAAAAAGCATTTGATAAGAAACTAAAGCGACTAAACTCCGAAAGTGTACGAAATGAATTATTTATGAACATCTTTATACATGTTGGTTAGTTTCGTCGCAAAAGCGTGCGTTTTCGCGGATAAATTCATCAAAAAAAGACCTTTTATATTGCATTAACATTATTTATGTCCGAGTACCGTGCGAGCGACACGAAAATATGATCGTCCAGCTCTCGAATATCGATTGTATTAAGAACTGTAAAAACTACGTACCTTTTTCATCAAAATATGTTCCGTACATTCGTAACCGACCCAAAAATGTATGATGTTTTCTCACAATTCTGTCAAGAACGAGACGAGAATTTTAAGTTTTTGTAATGGAATGGAAGGTTTCCAGCTTCTTAAATCGTAATTTAACATCTGTTTAGTTGATAAATGCTAGTAAGATCTGTCGTAGTTAATAATTAGGTTTTAAAAAGTCATCTATGTTATTGATAGGATCTAGTTTGACCTATAAGAGTCTTGCATAAGAACAGAAAGAAGATTTACGTAGTGCTACTTGATATAATCGGATCATAATTTTTAATGTACTTAATCGTAATATTAATCGATTCGACAATAGATACCAAATCCGATTCTAAGAAATCACTAGCCATTTATGATTACCATATCAAGTCGGATAAAAACATAACTTTTAAGGGCAATCCGAATTCGCTCGATGATCGGATCGTGAGATACTTAACAATGCCATTATTGTGTTGTTAAAATAACTGGCATCGAGTATGCTTAGCTTCGGAAGTGTTTACGCGTTTTTTCGCCACTCTCTGAGATCGTTTTCGACCGAAATAAAACGCTGTGTTGACTTAAAATTAACTCATTAACGATTTCTTCATTTCGGGGAGTTCAATCGAAATCGATCATTAAAAGATCGATTTTCTCGAAAATGGCAACCATAAATACGTGACTATTATTTTAATAATCTGGTATTTTCAAATAGGAACATCTCTATAATAGTCCCCCACTATAACCAATGCGTATTAAAATTTGAATACAGAATAATGTTGGTCACAAAAAATTCTAATGATTATGCCATTGTTACAATCGACACGATATTTTGGCTATCGCATTTTAATATCTATGAACGTTTCTTTTTTTACATTATGGTTTCCTGGTGCCAGTGTGCGTTACCGCCCTATACCATAGAGGAAAGGAAACTCTATGGAGTTTCCTATTCTCTTGTGCGTTGCCGCCCTAAGCCAATGAGCGGATATTGTCGCAGCGTTCCAATTTCGAATTAAAAAAAATAACAATCGGGAAATGGCAGCACGTCGCGGCGATAACGTACGCAACGGATTCTAAATTTTAAATAGTTCCATATTCAAACGCCGATTTCGAATATGGCGCACGGCGATTGTTTCCCGTTTTCGCTGGCACTTTAAGCCCGGGCGATAGTTTTTAATATGCGGGTTACGCATGCGTTATTGAAGTTTCACAATGGTTCCGAGTGGCAATATGGCGGGCTAGAATTGCTGTCCATATAATTGTGATTTCTTTTTTATGAGTATACATTTTATGTTCTACGTGAAGACACTTTGATTTATTTATTGCTGCATATCGCCAAACATGTTACATATATATTTACAAGACGAATAATGTACTTATTATTGACTCTACTATAATATTAAGAATTCTCTTGTAAGTGTTAATTTGTCCCAATAAATTACTATTACCGTTACAAAAGTATGTGACATTGATTACTTTTAGTAATTTGAACACAATAAAAGCTATAATTTCGCAACTCGTAAGACCTAGTTCGTATGCTTGAGGTTAAATTAATTTTGCGCAACGGCAACACTTGTAAACGCGGTTTCATAGGAAACGTGTCTCAGTTAACTATGACGTAGTCAACCGCTAACAGAATGTACAATTCGTATACGAATCACGTACAGAGAAATTTTTCATACCGACAAATATGTTATTACGACTTTCTATACCGTTTTCGGTTTATTCAATTTTATCGATAAAATTGACGATCTATCGATATCGATGAACAACACTATGAATAATGCATCTAACTACTGTTCGTTAATAAAGAGTTTTAACTAACAGTTTTTTGTATAAAATAATAATTTCTTTATTCACTTGAAGGAGATTGCGGATGGTTTTAATTCCCAAGCAGATACTGTTAAAATAAAAACATTAAAAAATACATCAATTTGTTTCCTGTACCGCTGACGTCACTCCCTAAAAGCCCTTTATGATCATGATGACCAATTTAATTACTAAAGCAACGCACATATTACATTCCAATCAAAATTCAACCTAATTCCTGTTGTATTAAAAGTGTTTTCCGCACACAAACTTCCACAGTCCCGTCAGACGTCGCAACAAATTGCCGACTTCCTCGAGGATTTTTATTTTTATTGATAAAGCGTCTCGGGACAACAATTGGTACGGATTTGGTCTTGAATTGGTTGAATCAGGGAACGGACCCGATTGTGGTACGTTTAAATTTTATATCAGTACCAATACTGAAGGTGACCGACATACGTATGGTATGTGCGTAACAAAATAATCTATTACATTATTTATTAATTGTAATATGTTACTTTGTTACAACAATAATTTAAAAAAATCTTAACACGTGTATGGACATAGACATATGAGAAATATACTTAACTGACCTATGAAGGATTCAGTGCTTAAGAAAATCTAATTTTCCGTCTGAAAATGAACATTGTTTCTGTTTTTTATTTCAATGAACTTTATGCATGTGTATACTCACCTTAATTCTGAAAGTAATCGAGTTTACCAAATATAATACGGCAATGTGGTTAAGTTGAATGGTGTAATCGTCTCATAAATTTTATTAGACGATCCCTCCTTCTGGTGTTTTAATGAACTTCTTAAGTGTTCTATAAATGGAAATTTTAAGATTTATAGCATCGCCCGTGGTAGAAATAAGTCTGTCGATGATATTATAATTACATAAAGATGTATGTATAATCTATATAAATTAAATTCAAGAAACTTCGAGAGTCTTTCTGACTTCACACATCTATTTGAATTTCTCCACAGATTTATGTCGCATCACGATGTTTTCCTTCATCAAAAGAACGTTGGATGTTTACTTTAAAATCTAATTTTCGAATGAACAATAAAATTTATTATATATTTATTTTTAATCTGGATATCAAAACTGGGATAAAAGGAATGTAAACTCTATCTCGCCAAACTATTTAAAATATCACCCTATTTTTTTCAAAACACTGTCCGCGTCATTTTCCACAGCGTCCATGACGCGTCCACTTACACGACCCTATCGAAAAAAAAAACAAAATAAAGAAGAGAAAACTAAAAAATATATCAACGGAGGGGACTTTAAAATCGTTATTATAATCTCGGACGCCATTTTGCCTATCGTGCTGGGGACGCGCCCTTCAATTTTAAATCCTTTTTTCAACAAAAACCCCTTTGATGTTTATGCGTTTTGGCAATATCTCCCGCTCGGCTAGATACGCGACATTTGGCCATTTCGAGGATTTTACTGATGCATATTTTAGATTAAAACTTTAATGCGATTCAATGCTACGTATTCGATACTTAAAAAAATACATACGACAACGTTCAAAAATATAAATTAACGTAATTATTTTATGAAAGCTTTAGTAGTTGTAGACACTTTCATATCATACTAATATTGCTATGTAAAAAAAATATCAAACATTTAATTCAACAGTTTGACGTTTGACAATTTGCTGACAACTTCAGGTCGCTACCGTACTTGTAAGTATTCATCCTGTGAATACTGTGTACATAATATAGGTATGATTCATTTAAATACAAATGTGAATCATAAACAATCTTAATCAACTGATTGAATTGGCCTTTATACTCAATTTATTGATTGAAAGAATTAAAATGATAGAACCATGTCATATTATCAATAATAAACTAAATGATTTTAATTCGAAAAGTTTCTGATGCAGTATTGTGTAGATAATAATTTCTCCCGAATACGATATATAGCGCTTCTTAATATCTGACATTTTTGATAAGATAACTCATGAAGTGCCTTTACCTCATTTAATTATTCAGATAATGTTAAACATGGTTATTGTAATCTCCAGTACGTCAACAGTCAACGTAGTTAATCATTTAGTCTGCGGTACAAGTACTTTGTTTCACGATGACGCGCTACACGAGGCCTCCGCTACAGACACACAGACTGCAAGACTGCGTCCTACATCACGCGGACGTCGGGACAATAACAATCAACGCAAACCGAGCCCCCCTATTAATCAACTCATTTAAAAGACAAACATCGAAAGAGAAAAAAAAGACGTGTGGGAAAATGTACGTATCCGTCTCACGCATTCCAAATTCGAATGAATCTTGACGCGGCCAAGATATGAAAAGAGAATGAGATTTGAAAATAGAACGCGCCATTAGGAGCGAACACAATGGCCTTCTCATTGGTCGATTTGAAAAAGGAACAATTTGTTAAACGTCAAATATGAACTTTTTTATTTACGCCGTAATGAAACACCGCTCGCTATGATGCCTAGTACACATCTTACTGACGTTTTTGTCGGATCACGCCGCTCGTTTTTCATTTGTTTTGTGTTCGCGTCCGTTACACTTATTAATGTCGAAATTAAAACAAGAATCCGACTAACAGATTGAAATGCCACAGGCGACAAGATTATTACGTTACTTAAGACGTTCGGTCACGAGCTCGCTCTACTAATTAATAACATTTCGTTCGTGTAAAATGGCAACACTCTCCGGTGCACTCGCTAACTGTTCAAATGGAAAAATAAAAAAAATAACCATCTAATATTTCATATGTAAGATTCAAAGATAGTTAACTCCGTGAGGTTTTTTTGCGTTCGCTGCCTACGTATTGTCTATTCACTCTTGTATTTAATTTTGTTCTCGGCCCGACTTTCTAACTAACAAACGTTTATCGAAGATCAACAACACAAGCAATGACATGGAACTATCAATATTTCTAATAACTTTTAAAAACAAAGTATTAGTTTCATATACCGCCGTGGACGCCATATTAATCATTGGAACGAATTTCCGTACACCATGTCATACGGAGTTCGTTTATTAAAAATGTGACGTATCAAGATCAACATCTCATTGAAAGCGATAGATAGATACAGAGTCCGTAGGTAAGAGCGGGATAGACATGTGCTGACATTTCAACGGGTCATCAACCCTACTGGCGTCCTGCTCTAACTAGAATTCGAAGATTTGATTTGAATTGTTCCTAATTTGAAATATTGGCTCGTTCGATCCGGGCATGTTGAAGTATGAAGTTTATGTTTCCTTTACTTTTTTTTAATTTATATGGTCTGTTAGATAATGTTCGGAATAGAGCTTTGTTGTTATCAGGCTTCCGTTTGATGTCCTTAATAGCCCGGCGAGCTATAAAAGAAAAATAAATTGTAAAATAACGTTAAGTATTTTTTTATCTTCACAAAGATTAATAAATAGCAATCGTTTCCATAAATAATCCTCGATCGCCAAATCGAGATTGTGGATTATTTTTTTCCATTTCGTGGGTTTTGTATTTCGCGTTTATAACTGGAAAGTTATTTGTTATTGAATTATGATGAATATGTTCTCGGGCCGCTGCGGCGGGTTTCGTGTTTTCTTGAGCATCGAATATTTTATATGCCGCCGTTAAAAGTAAAGTTTTATGGCATATAAAATTTTTTATGTCAGTTCAGTGTTTGCCATCGACAATGAGCGGATGAATAAGAAGGGGCGTAGTTGTAGATGCGACCCTAAGCCTTTATTAAAATGCACGGACACAGTCCCTATACGAAACAAAAGCTACAAAAATGTTAAACAGCGAGTATAGGAGAATCATAAGAGGTCATAACTGGTTATTTGGATCCATTTATGGCGATGTAATCCTATTGTAAGATCGCGGCAGGCGCGCGTGTGCGTCCGTGCGTCTGTACGTTCGTATGACGTATGCATACGTACATACAAACACCAGCGTTAAAATGTGTTCAATCATTAATTTCGCCTGTAATTGAACGAGTTGCGATCTGCGCCCGCAAAAAGCCGATGTTTCTCCGAATCCGAACGAAGTATTAAAGTGTACCGATCGGATGACGGGGCTCGAGCGCTGCGAATTTATACGTTCATAAAATACTTTTGTCAAATTTACGCCGGAGTTCCGAATAAAGTGGACGGGGCCGGTGGACGTCGGATTCTTTAACGAAATCATCGTCTACGCCCGTTTTTCTGTCGGTTATTATGTCCGAAGGCGAAATACGCGAAAGATATTTTCGCTTTCCATTAATAAGGCGCTACGGCCTCGGGATTCTCACGCCCGTATACGCTCGTCTAGATGAGAAAAAGTCGCCGATCGAAAAGAAAGTAGCGGGTACATCGGTGGCTGTCGATAATTACTTTGGAAGTGAGCCTCTACCGAAAACGCATTCATAGCTTATCTGAGACCGATATCGGGCTACTTGAGCGGCCACTTTTCTATTATTCATTAGCTCATTGTTGCGCGGTGGAGGGGACGCCAGACGCCGCGCTGCAGCGACCTGAAATTCGGTAACTGACTTTACATTAATAATTACTTCTCAAAATAATTCTAACTTTGATGCACGACTTCGATAAAAGACCAGTACGGTCAGCATAGCTACTACGATACGAACCGTGCGCCCGCGCCATAGACCAGCGATGACAGTAGTTCCACTTTGAAAATAATCATATTTTACAAAATGCAAAAAAAAATGATTATGTGCTTGGAAAAATTTGAGAAATAGACAAAAATATAAAACATAATTTTTTGGTCTAAAATGTTTATTTATTAATAGTCTACATTGAAAATAAACAGGGTAATGATATTTTTTTGTTAAAACCGTTTAACAAAAAATACTACGGAACTCTTATAATACAATTTAAAAATGTAAAGGCACGTACACACTAGAGCTTACGGCTTGCATCACCTAATCGATATCATTCGGTGTCAGAATCGATCACACAGGATTTAGTGGCGGGCGCAGATTAAACAGTTGTTTGTTGACGTGACGGGACATCTGTACCGAGCGTGACGCAACCGTACCCGTTCTGACGAAACTCGTGATACCGAATCAATGATTAATGACGCCGGCCGTTGCGGGGAAATTTTTTCGGTACGTACTAACTACTGTCTGTGACTATCGTATGATTGCGAGACGCTGATTGAGATAATCGGTAAAAAAAAACTAATAATAGTATACTACTCTACCACAACAACATGAGACTTTAGTACGGTGACGTCACAGCTCATATTAACGAACTTTGTTTAATTGCGGCGTAATCAACAGTGCGACAGTCTACAAAACAATTTACTTAGACTAGACTAAATAATTTATACAGACTGTCTAGTAACTTCAGAATTCTGATTTCAATTGTTACTTAAATTACAATAAATATACACAAACTCACGTTTATTCGTAGAAATTCTGCTAACCGTAGGCACGTGTTCTGAAATAACCGGGGCAAATATCAACAATTTTTGTCAACCGTATCTAACAATAATTAGACAATCGAACATGAGATATAATCTATGCGAAATAGCGAAACCTCATTTGCATAGGAAATGGAATTCGAGTGGGTATTAGAGGCTTTGATATATCTGATTGTATCATACAGTTACGTGGAAGAGGAAATAGTGTAGGTAAGCTTGACAAAAAATACCCGAGCAATAATATCGATGTACTAACAACTTTGGCATTTTATTTTTTAAAAATAGATGAAATTGTAACAAAATGATATTACGATATTCAAAATGATAATGAAAGTGTGCAAAATTTTAAGGGCCATTCCCACCACTGGTTGCTAGAGGCTCAGATAGCTTAAAAATGAAGTTACTGTCAGAGTAAGGAAATCCGATATATCCATCACATTTTACACGTTGGATCAGTCTTGTATGAACTTGACGTACTTAACTGATAGCCAAAGGGGCTTATTTTTGCTAATGTATTTATAATTGAGAACATGTGGTACAACAGTTTTTATGATATCGTCTAATTTGTTTAATGTTACGTTAAATCATCATTACGAACAGAAGCAATGACTGATAGGATTCTATTAAAAAAAATCAACATAACCTCAAAGCAACGTAGCAGTTGCGTTTAAAAAGTCGCGCAATCATCGACTCAATTGAAACGATTTTTATGCCTCCGTGTATAAACATAAGAAATAAAATACGTTGTTATGCTAACATGAAATTGGCCCGAGGCATTTACGGTACAAACTGTGCTCCACATACCTGCCCTGTCAGAATCCGATTAGAAATTTGGCTTTGATGGAAAACTGTTATTGCACGCCCATTACTGGCCATTCGAGCGTTTTGTGTGTGAAAGATTACAGATTAGAACTTGTTTGCGTTGGGTACGACGTCTTCTTTCACTTTTGTAAACGACCGATTAATATTTAAGACGGTAAAATGACGTTAGTATTTTTACTTATCTCGATTTAAGAACGCGGCCAAGGAATCGATTTAATACAAGTGACAGCTAAAATGTTACCAGAATGATAATACAAAAAAATTACAATAATGTAAATACCTTCTTTTGTTTTTCACTTTTTAAATGTAAAAATACGTTAATGAATATCCGATATACATCTAAATGTCTGACTACCTTGTTTCAGTTAAAAGTCGTGATAGTTTGTTAAAAATTTAAGTGGGTGTTTAACAGTGTCGCACGTGAACGATGTTTATATTTCTCCCAAATCTTTAAGTCAACAGTCAGAAAATGAGAAAATGTAAATTTTTAGACGGCCGCGACTGACGAGTGTTTGCCTCTTTCGTGTTCCTATGTGTTCTCGACAGCGGATATAAATACACAAAACTTTGATTTTAAGAACAACACTAAACTGGTACTTGTAATGAGTTGCTCAATTTCATAATGTGGTAGAAAAATGCCATTGTACTTTAACGAATTAATTTTACTTCATAAAGTGTGAAGCTAATGTTAATTTTATTAATCTTAAATATTTAATTTTATTACCATTTATGTTGGCGTATAAATATAACTGGCAACACTCGTGTTCCTGATCGAATCATGCCTCACGTATGCCGAGGAATTCGAATTTCAAAAACTATAATGATTGATTGTCAACCAATGACAATCGCGTATTCAAATTCCTATACCAATTTGAATGTGAAACGAGTTCTTTTTCCTGTTGGGCCCGTGCTGTACGTACTCGTACAGCCAAGTACAGTAATACAATAACCAATTATTATACCATATATTTTTTTTTGGTACTCGACCGTTTGATTATTATTTACATAGAGTTGAAGCTGTTTAAAGTAAGATAGTTAAATCAAAAGGCTCCTTGTGGCACAGGAAAGTAACCTAATATAACTTATAAGTACATTCGACACCGCTTTAACAACTGGTCGTTCGTTTAAAAAGCCATATGTTTATCTTATAATTATTCCGGTGGTAGTGTGTGTGCGCGGTACATGTGGGTGTCTAAACATGTAATTAAAGTATGGAAATAGTACATATACGTTTTGAAGTGTTTTCTCTATAAAATATTCGAGTGGCTGGGAACACTCTTGTGTCGATGACCTCTGATTTTTTTCACTTCTTTAATAACAGCTCTGTTTACTAACTTACGTCTGTAAGTCATGTTCCTTTTCGAGGATTCTCGAAATATCGACTCAATAAACTCGCCTATAAAAAGGTTTAAAAGGAATTTTATGCTTTCGGACGTTTCTCGGAATCGCCGTATGCATGATATTTTAGTAATGCATCAAGTTTTGTTTTATAAAATATACAACAGCAGATGTGGGTAGACGTAGAAAAAAATTGTTTATTACCGTAACAAGTCCGACAAGTAATTTGTCTGCTTGTTGCGAAATTTGATTCGGAGAGTTGTTTGTGAGGTCATTAATCTCAATGTGATCAGAAAGTGTGTGTTTGTTTGAAAAATATAATTTGAAACTGGATCGACTTATAACGTCCGACCTCGAAAGCTATAAATGTTTTTTTTGTAATTTATACTATAAATCAGTACAATAATAGAAATTAATTAAAAAAATGTTTTAACTGTTTTAACAACAAGCATACTATGATAGTTTTGGGGTCTTCAGTAGCTTCAAAAAGCATTTTAATAAATAAAATTTTAGGCTACAGTACATTAACATAATCAAATAATTTAGTTGAAAGTACATTAAAAAATAAACTTATTCTTTGCGCGTTCCGTTCAGAAATAGTTGCTAGTGATGACGAAACATCCTTACACTTTCTAATAATTAAACTATTTATCGAATAATCCAAATTAGCATAGAACGTTGTTTAAATTGATTTGTGTTACAAAAGCTCGTAACAAATATTTATAGTACAAAATAGATCGTTAAAGCTAATGTAATATGGTTTTAACAAGTTATATTGCTTTTTCGTGCAAGTTGAGTATTTTGTACCAAATAAAAATAAACTAGGACAATGGTACGCCGCTCGCCTCACGACCGCACCACGGTAATTGAAAATAATAATTGAATTCGAATTAAGAATACGAAATCAGAATGGAATAGGGTTACCATTGGCTCAAAATTTACAAAATTCAATAGCAATTTTACAATAGTAAAACACATTACTTCGAAGGACTATACTTAATATACATTTTTTCCCTTCATTTTATTTGTAAGCATTTAATTAATATTTTTATGTTTTATCGTTAGAATTTATTGCAAGTGATATGTTAACCCTAAACAGGAGCCATATTTAAAATCCGCGCGGTTACGTTCTACGCGTTGTTTTTTTTTTAATTGAAATTTGAATTTGGAATCGTGTGTGCTCTCTATTGTGCGGCAAATGGAATTTGTGTTGCGTATTTCGTTACTTTATTGGTGTCCATTTTTTATTGGTATCACGTTCCTACCAAATAGTTTATTCAGGCAGGTCTTTTTAATATGGACAAGTATGATAGGTAATTCATTTTGCAAAATTTTAAATAGAGATCTTTGCTGATAAAATTTTTACCATTTGATTACGTGTTATGTTTACGTAAATGTCCGTTGCTCAAGATTGACCTAGAATTTGTTTTATTCGAATGAAAAAAGTAATACTTAGATCGCGCGAAGTTACTTTCGCATTGATATTTATTGAGTGGCCAGCAACAAAATATATGTGTCTAGGAATGTGTGTGTACAATCGGTCGAGCGTGCCTCGCGTAACAATCAATTCACTTACACCGGAAATTTATGAATTTAAATGAGAAAAGTGTTAGGAATTTAATGATGGGCTTCGAAGTAAACCGCGCCATGTCTTCCTGGTGCCCTATTACATAAATATTGAATAGCTCCATTGTTTACTACTTACCTACCAACTGTGCTCACTTTGTTGCCAACTTATTTTATACCAACGTATCATGTATATTTTGTATTTGACAATTATTATTACGCACAAGATGTGTTACATTTTGAATTATTATTCAAATAAAAAGATAAATCATCAACCTGCATTTGCCTCTACAGAGGGTTGGCACAGTATGTACTGCTTCATACATCTCTATCAGCCGTCATATCTGAATTCACTCCCTTAAGCATATCTTTCACACAATCCATATATACTTTCTTCGGTCTTCCCCTACCTTTGTAGCCACATTCAATCTTACGTTCTTGTTTATATGACCATCTCTCTGGATAAACAATTTACCTTACGGTATAGTATTTAAGCTTTACCTTAAGGTATAGTAGGTAATAAAAGTTTAATAGATACTTCAAGGTGTACGATAGGTGTTGATGAATCATTTTCGCGCCCATACATGAAGTTAATGTGTGGTTTTATAACAATATTTTAATAGTTGAGCAACGCAAGCGAAGCTCATGCCTAATTAGGTTACATATGACAGCTACAAGGCGTGGCCTCTTATAATATAAGTACTATGACATACGGACGCACAGCGAGACGGTAATTCTCCTTTGTATGCTAATACAGAATTATCTAGCCACTCGAAATTGTAATCTTAAAACTCGCTTCGAATTTCTTCATCCGTTGTTTAAGAATTGTAACTGTGCTCTCAACTATTTGACCATATTTTTCTGAGAAATGTGATATTATTTCTTCAATATATTTAGAAACTTTAATGTTTATTAATCTTTTAGGTAACAAATGACTAATGAAGGTATAAGTTTTATGAAATAAATAAAAAATTAAAAAGAAAAACTCTTTAAATTAGATTTATGTTGGTGAAATTTGAAAATACGAAAGTTTAATCCGATCTCTGTGAGACAGTTCGTGATCTTAGACTTAATAGTTAATACCGCGTGTATTGTTTGATACTCTTTGATAAAACTGGATTTGATTACTCTATGAATTAAGTTCGGTAAGTCGTTTGAAAAGTGGCAACATTTAACAATAGATACTCTTTGACAGAACAAATGGCGGGAAACATGTTTGATAGTGATGTAAAAAATATAGAGATGTTCCGATATCGGTTTTGAATATAATGAGGCAATCGATTCGAAGAAACATTGAATAAATAAGCTTTGATATTTTATACGCGTAAACAAAACTGTGAGATGTGACACTCAGTAGCAAAACAATAAACAATGTGGTCATACAAACTCTCAATGCCCTCTCACAGCACAGTTTCATAAATTTCAACCATTGAAATCATAAATAAACAGAACGATTAGATCATTGTTTAATACACTAAAATGTTTTTGATAATGTGTTTTGTATGGCGGCATAACCTAAACAACATGTCATATTTTTTTATCTAAATTCTCTTTAGGTATTTATATAAAGTCTAAAGCCGAAGCCTTTACCGAAAACTATGCCCACTTTTTTTTTACGGAAAAGCGTCAGTCATTTTTAATCTGTCACTGTCACCCTTATTAAATAGTGATGTGCTCACCGGTTTCAAACGCTGGATAGTTAAACGTTTTCGAATTAAATTATAAAGTCAACGTACTGAATTGGAAAAAACGCGCTCGAATTATGATTTAAAACGTGTTCGGGAGAAACTCGACGTTTCTAAAAATGAACATCTAGCGGCGACTGCCGTCATTATACATACGGGTAATGAGGAATTGACACAAGAGTAAAACGGACATAGAAGATATCAATCTATACAAGGCTGAGACCGTTGATTATTTCTATATAAATCAATGTTTAAATTAAAAATTTTACGTGTGACTTATTTTATAAAAATCAAATAGTTACAAAGTTAGAAAATCGTTCAGGGTATCTAATTTACTGCAGTAGAAGTAACGAACTTAGTCTAGTAACCAAATCTAGTTACTAAATCTGTATATCAAAGCTTTATGGTTTATTATAGAAATTTCATGGGTTGAATGTATTATTGAAAAAAAAACTTAAACAAAGAGCTTTTGGTAAGGAAACATAAATTTCCCAAAATTATGAATCTTAACTAGTTTTTCTTATCATATTTATGAAATTT